CGAACCCGCGGGCTCAGGCAATCCACTCACCTCAGCCTCCCAAGGCACGGGATTACAGGCTGAGCCACCGAGCCTGGCTTGCCACACAGCTTTTCAGTGGTAGAGGTAAAGCCAAAACCCTAGGCTTCTTGTAACCTGAGTGAAAGCACTGTTTAAGCAGGTGGTATGTGCCACCCCAGGTCAGTTTCAGTTAGCTCTTAATAGGGGTGGGGAACCCTGGACCTTCCCACTCTCCCCGCATGCCTGGGAATCACTGGGCTGCAGGGGCATAACCAGGAGTGGTCGCGCCAGGTGAGATATCTGAATTCCAAAGGCTTGGAACACAGATGAGGGAAGGCCATCAGGCTGGGGCAGGATATTTTGGTAGAACAAATTAAAAGCCTCAAAGAGCAAAGAGGCCGGGTGTGGTGGCTCACACCTGTAATCCCAGCACTTTGGGAAGCAGAAGTGAGAGGATTTCCTGAGCTCAAGGGTTCAGGACCAGCCTGGGCAACTTGACAAGACTTTGTCTCTACAATAAATAAAAAAATTAGCCAGGCATGGTGGTGCACATCTGTAGTCCCGGCTAATTGGAAGGCTGGGGCAGAAGGATCGCCTGAGCCCAGCAGGTCATGGCAGCGGTGGCCATGAGTGTGCCACTGCACTCCAGCCTGGATGACAAGAGTGAGAAACAAAAAGCGCAGAAAGAAGGGGTACACAAAAGAGCTCCGGAGGAGGATGTGTGCATCGTTCTGCATTACAAAGGGGCTCTGGGGATGCAGGGGATGGAGGAGCACACAGACATCCTGATGCCTCTGGGGCTTTGGGGGTGGCCGTTCACTTCTCTCTTTGGTTCTCAGCTTCCTCACTTGCCGGTGGAGAAGGCCGCAACCCCTGGTCTCTGAGGCCTGTGTGGCTCTGACAGTGTTTCTGTGTGACCTTGAGGCTCCCAAGGCTCCAGATCTCAGAAGCCTGACCCAGGTCCTCCTGACACCAGAATAACTCCCAGATCTTGCTTATGGAGAGAGGCCCTGCAGATCGCAGGAAGAAGGGGCCAGGGCCCAACTCGGAGGGAGAGGGCTCACCTTCAGGAATAGCAGTGCCCAGCAGCTGCTATGTGCCTGCCTCTGTCCTCCCCCCAATGTCATTTACCCTCATGGACCATCACAAGGACAACCACAACTCCATGAAGTGGACACCCCATTTAGAGCTGAGGACACTGAGGCTCCAGGCAGCTCCGGTCACCTCCAGGGAGCATCTTTCCCCTCCACCCAATCTGGACATGGTACCTTCCTCAAGAAGGCAGGGGTGTACGGGAGAGACCACAGGAGCCAGCACCACACAGATTCGAGTGGGAAGCCCTCCCTGCTGCTTCCTTGCTGGGGGTATATGCCCCCCTCCACCTTAGTCTCCTTCCTGTAGAGAGGCCTTTCTACCTGGAAGGGCTACCTGAGGCTTTGACGAATTACTGCGCCAGACCCAGGGTATCCCCTGCGTCTCCAGGAGTCTCCCCTTGATCCTACTCTTGTTATTGAGGCAGAAGGATTTGAAGTCAGGATTGACTTTGCCACTGTTCTAGACCACATTTGCTTTGGGGCCCACAGGGAAGCAGGTCTGAGTGTCCCTGGATCCACATGGCTCTGACCGCCCCAGCACGGAGGGCCTCAGAGGGACAAGCTGTGTCCACCCTTGACCCTCGGCGGGCAGATAGTTCCCCCAGCTCTGGCTGGAGCTGCAGGCCATACCAGGGGCCTACGCCCTGGGTGGGCACACAGGGCCACCATTGTCTGCCCAGAGCCTGGCACCATCTCGTTTGCATAGCCACGTGAAGAATGCAGGGAGCTGGCTGGGGACTTGTCCCAGCAGAGGGGGCTGGAGCTGTGGGGGAGGAAGCCAGCAGGGGTCGGCGGCGGAGGCTGCCTTCCCCCAGTGCAGTCCAGGCAAGGCGGGTGGACGCTGGGGATGGAGAAGGCGGCCAGGGGGGCTGGCGGGAGTGGGAGCAGGGTTGTGACATTCCTCCTGCACCCATGCCGAGAGCCCACGGGGCCGATTCAACGTGAGGGGATTGCTAATGAGTCGAGGAGAGTTAAACATTCCCCTGCTCCTGAGGGCTGAGCTTGGGATGCGAGAGGGAAGGGGGTGGGAGGGCTAGGCGGGAACAGCCTGAACCCCAGGAATGTGTAGGGGCCACTTCTTCCCGCCAGGCTGGTCTGGACCCGGGGCCAGGGCCCGGTGTCCCAGGTCCCAGCAGGAGCTGCTAAGCCAGCCAGCAAGGGGATTAACAGGCCCAGCAATCCGCCTTCCTTCAGGCTGATGCCAGAATGTCGGTGCCGTCTCCCCAGCTCCCCGCACGGCCCCTGCTGGCCGGCAGCCAGCTCTCGATGAGGCCCTTCTTCTGTCCCCGTCAGATCTCAGACCCCACAGTACATGGTCCTGGGTATACCCAGGAACCATGTGTGTCAAAGTGACTTTGACAGACATGGGTCCTTGACACACATGGTCCTGGGTATACCCAGGACCTCTCCCCAGTACACCATTCCTAGCCCAGTTTCTCCATATCTGGCCTCAGAGCTCTTGCCAAACAGTTCTTCCTGATGTCTAACTCCAGTTTTACTTGCTGCAAACTGGAACTCCTTTTCCTTTCTGTCCTAAAACCAGAGGACAGAAAGCCCCACGGGTCAGATCAGCCTTCTAAGAGCAAAGTCCATCATCTCAGGACTGGTGCTCGGGATACGGATTATGAGAATTTTAGGGCACTCGAATCGGGTTCCTACAGGGGTTTCCCTAGGCAGACCGGCCCTGAAGGCAGCTGGGTCTCTCCTCTTGGCCCCTCCCTTCTCTATCCCTAGGGTGGGGGGCGGGGCAGGGACACCCACCTGGGCCATGGACCCCGCCTCCCGCCCCCAAGGGGCCAGGCCTGAGCTTTGCTGGGGACCCTGCACTGACTCAGGCAGCTGCTGTGGGCGGGCCCTGGCCTCTTCCAGCCCCTGGGCCTCCCCCTGCATTCTGGAGCCCAGAGCCACTGCCTTTGCTGCTGCACGGCCACCTTTTCCTCTCTGCCTCCAGCCCTCCCTCCGGCTGCTCCCCCCGCCCCAGCTGTCCCTCCCACCTGGCCATGACCGCAGCACCCCCTGGGACCCTGGCCCAGCTCTGAGCCCTGGGACCCTCGGGCCCCTCGCCTGGGCCATGGCCAACTCGGGCCTCCAGCTCCTGGGCTACTTCCTGGCCCTGGGTGGCTGGGTGGGCATCATCGCCAGCACGGCCCTGCCGCAGTGGAAGCAGTCCTCCTACGCAGGTGACGCCATCATCACCGCAGTGGGCCTCTACGAGGGGCTCTGGATGTCCTGCGCCTCTCAGAGCACCGGTCAGGTGCAGTGCAAGCTCT